ACAGAGGAGCACGCTCACATGGTATTAAATCATTCCAGCCCTTAGCACCCATGTATTTCCCATGTTCATTTTTCTGGATAGCTTGACAAATTCCATTGTGTCAGCTATTTAGACTAGCTCCAGAAGTTTTGTAAATAAATCACTTAAAAGGGCTTTGTAATTACCCAAGTGTGTTGTTTCTTAGGGGTGTAATCTTCCACAGCTTCTGTGAATGTCTGAAGAGGTATGTAAACAGCCTTGTATGAATACATTTTCTAGCAGTGCTTTTTGATATCCTTTTGACAAAGAGGGTACATCTTGCTCACCTCAAAACCAGATTTTCTATAGCTCATCCTAGACTTTGAGCTGCTTAATGCCCTGAATTGTTTGCTGATTAGTTCTGAGGGCAAATACAAGTTCCTGCCATCTAAACTCTCCTTGGAAGTATTGGTACCGCATCCTTCCACATGCCTCCAAATCACATATATGTAGTGTCAAAGTTTCTCTCAATAGACTGAAACCAAAGTAGTTACGCTTCTGCCTGTCTGGCCTACTAACCATCCAGCTTGGGTTCTTAGCTTTCTGGTTTCCAACACTTAAAACCTGTTATCTCAAAACTGAGCATGGAAGAGGCACTCCAGTCCATGTGCCTGTAGATTTTTTTTAACTTAATCTTATACCTGATGACACAAAAGTATGATTGCATTTATGCTGACCAAAGGCAGAGCTCCCTCCTGCAGGCCACTGTGTTTTGCTGCTGTGGGAATTTCCAAAGAGCTAGATAACAGAAAGGAAAAGCTCTTTGTGGATGTGGAGTCTGTACTGCTCCAGCAGTGTGTGGGTGTGGAGTCTGTACTGCTCCAGCAGTAAGAACCTGAGGGCTGAAAGTATCTGTGCTGGGGTGGGAAGGACATATCAGGGCAGCACTCTATCCGTACCAGAGGGGTAGTGTGGTCTGCACCAAGGGACGGTGACGGAAGTGCCTGCAGACACATCATTTTCCTTTCCCTTTTTCCTTTCTCTCCTGCCCCTCTCTACACCTACAGCCTTGGACATGGCAATCATTGCAGTTTGGAGGACAAGGTGATTAGTAAGCCTTTCAAATGTTCTTTTTAAAAAGAAGAAAGTCTGAAAAGAAGGATTAAAAAAACTCAGCATCATTTTCCACAGCTAAAGGCCTCTCTGCATTAGTTCTGTTCCCTTTAAAGTCTGGAATGCTTGGGTTGGTTTGTTGGGGGGGGGGGGAGGTGTCCTGTGTTCTAAGAAACTTCAAATTTCCATAAATTAGAAAAACATTTAAGTTTTTGAAAACAATTTGTTTGGCCGTTGTTTTTACAAGAAAAATGTACTGCAAACACAACTCCAGACTGTGCTACAAAGACCTTTCAGGTTGGATTGTACTGAGCAGCACAGGACCAGCCTACATATTTGAGCAAACTGGCACATCAGCCAAGCCCAGCACACAAAACCAGGGTCTTAGACACAGTTTATATGTAAATGTGATAGTAGGCTCGCATCGATTAGTCTCTCAACCAAGGTAATCTGAGAATAAATCCACGAGGGTTTTGTATTTTGAGAGCGTCTAAGATGACTGATTTTTTCAGATACAGAACTGTAACTGGTTCAAAATTGGTTGCATGGATACATGCAGGTAATCGTGGAAGCTTAGTACTTGTGCATGAAAGCAAGAATAAGTAAAACTGCTGAAGTAACTGCTGAGTCCACTAAAATAAAGCCACATCAAAGAATTATTCACTCCTTCCAATAATGTTGAGGGGCAATGGATGACAAGTGTTCTGTCATTACAAATGACAGACTTCAAAACTAATTTAGAGATAGCATAGTCTGATAGCTGAGAGAGATACTAGCTTTTTATTTAATCCTGATAACACACTAGACTAACCGAGTCACTAAATCCAGTAATTACACAGATTATTTTACAAATCATAAAAAAATCATAGCTGTAGACTGTAAACTGTGTTGTTTTTCCCCCATAAAGTACTTGTATTTCATCAACATGAATAAGGACAAAGCCTTTTCCAGAAGTCAATATTGACTCAGCATGGCTCTAAACTTCATATGCTCTCTCCAAAGCACTAGAGGAGCACACTTTCCAGCAGCACTGAAAACACACCCACTAAGCAAAAACCTGTCCCTTTGCAGTGTTTTATATTGTTACCTCAAAATTGCCAAACCAGCTATCATTTGAAAGACAGCCTAAAATTCAAGAGAAGTATAGTGCTAAATTGCCAGTGAGAATCTGGAAACTCCTGCAATTTGTAAGATCAGACAAAGAGTTCAATATTTAAGCATGTACCTAAGAACTAAGATACAGTTACAAAGAGAAATGCATAAAATCTTACTTTTTTGACTTTTATTATATTAGGATTTTTAAAGATATAAAGTGGACAATAGCAGCATCAAAAATCTCATAGCTTCAAGGGTCTGTGCAAACATCCTCTATTTACTCAAAAATGACAACAGATTAGCTTTTGGCAGATTAGATAGGAAGTCTGTGTGGCACATTGTGTCACATTATAATGAGGAAGGAAGCTAGGAGAATTTTGGAACAGAGGAGAGAAAGTTGGTTTTGGTTTTCTGACATAAACCCTTACAATACAGTGTCATGCTGTTCCATTTGTCTGGTAAAGACTTGTGGTAAAGACCATGGGGAAATGCAAATATAGGAAGTAACATCTGTAAAATCCTGTTTTAAAATCTCAGCACCATCAATACACAGAACTTGCTGTGGTCTCACGCTCAGTGGTACAGTATATGCTGAACTTTCAATGAAAACAGGAAAATAAACAACTCTTATTTGCTTTATCTTCAGTATATGTTTTTGCTTGTATGTTGCTTTTCATTGAATTGCGAAGGCCTGAAGTTACATGTCTGGGTCTTCTGCTCATGAGTTTTTCTCATACATACACCTAAAGTTATATTACAGTACACTGTTACAGAAAGTGCTTCAAAGTACAGACAATATGCAAATGGTTTCAGTCCCTCACGCTTTAGAGCCTAAGCTACCTTCAAAGCATTGGAGAAATAGGGACAAGGTATGCTAGGATTATGTCATGATGACAAAGTACAGATACTTCTAGCATGGAATTCAAATAAGCCATTCCAGACATGTACTAGTCAAATTTTCATTTAACAACTTCTTTTTTTTTTAGTATTCCGAGTTCATGCAAAAAAATTCCAGGTCTGATTGGCAAGCAGTTCAGTACAGATATAACCTGGGGGGAATTCCATATTTGAGGAAATGCATTCTGGTATGTGTCTGAAGTCGTACAAATGTTGATGACGTGAGGGAGAGGGGAGTAGGCAGGAGCATCATGCAGTACATTGCCTCACCACTGTTACGCTACGCTGTCAGTGGCAAATGAGACTATCGTCTCGCTTGACAAGAGCAAGCATAGTTTCGCCTGCAGCTGACGAGGACTCTTTCTCCAGTAGTAAAGTATCTGTTATATCAACTCTTAAGCTTCACACAAAAAAGCAGAATAATCCCCGTGGGTTCAGCTACAACCTTTCTTGTGGGATTTGCCCAGAGGCTTCCTATAGCAAGTAGCACTTAGCCTTAACCTTGTTTACTGAGAGCACCAATAGTACATGAAACAGAGTGTTATAGTGTATAGTTACAATATGTAGTTATAGTATAAGGTATAACTCATTCAAACCAGAGAGCACCCCCGTCAAATGCTCAGTATTTGCCAAGCTGAATTAAGTGGGATTTCTATAACTGAAAGGGTAACTTTGGGATACCTCAAAAATGGCTAAACAGCTCAAAGAAATCAGAGACTATATTTTGCCTCCTGCATTTGGCAGAAAAAAAGAATACTTCCTTCTCTTTGTAGCACACCCCAAAATACTTAAGATTATACTCATGAGAAAGATTGGGAATTCTTACTTGAAGCTGAATAGATACATGGCAAAAAATCCAGTTTTGTATTCTTTTAAGCCTCAGTTTTTGCCCTCAGGATGCGTCATGTTCTTACCACTGAAAAGAAGGGTTTTTCTTCTGTGACAGCCACAGAGCAGAGGGAGTAGTTAAGATTGCAGCGTTTTGTACTGTTTATGAAGATGTTTATGAAAATTATTTCCTGTTACCAAAAAGATGCAATGTTCAAAAGTGCTGTTCCCTTTGTAAGTTCACATTGTTGGAAATACTAACGGTTCTCTCTTCTCCTGGACAAACAGTCTCTGAAAGGTCACACAATCTTCTAGACATAACATAATGACAAAGACATTTTTGGATGATAATGCATAAGTGTTTATTACACACTCTCTACATTATTTGCACTTTCTCTTTTCCCAGCACTATCCTGAGAAGTTTATTAGTAATACGGGATAGAAGATTATAAGCATTAAAATATTATGTAGTGGACATAAGAAGTCCATAGGGATGTTTGCTGAATGAGACAGAGAAGACCTGCTTATCTCTTCAGGCCTATTTTTTTCAGTGTGACTTCTGTGGGACTACATGGCACTGTTCTTTATATAACTGTTCTTCTAGCAACCTGTAGCCATTTTCTTCTATGATTTAGGATCCTGAAAGTTTTGATTCTATTCCTCTGAAATCTGCTTGAAAGAATCACCTATTTTGTAGAAACCCTCTTTATATTCCTTGCCAGGTTTTTGCATGCAAGTAACAATTAATTGATGTAGTTGTGAAGGACCAATGTTCCCTTTTAATAAGGAGCTGCTTAATGTTCTGCTCTCACACCATAAATTTAGTGAAAATTATTCAAGCTTCTCACAAACGTAATAATAAAATTTCACCATAGGTTTTTAAACTGTATTCTTCAATATTCTATTCCTACAAAATTAAAAACTATTTAAAAATAACACATGATTCTGGAGAAAAAGTAAATGGTTCACTTTTAAAATAACATGGAAGTATTTTAATGAGAAAAGTCTGAAACTGTGAAACTCAAATAAATGACACCTATGCAAAAGGAATCATACCTGTTCCTAATATGAACAAAGGAATGAATAAAATGAAACAGACTATAATTTTGAAAGAATGACCATATTTATTTTCTATTAAAAACAGACAGTACATCAAGGTTTAAAATATAAATATCAAAATTATTGCACACTTTTAGCCAACTAGCTTTGTTTGACAGCAATATTTTACAACATCATTGTGCAATAATGGCACATTAAACTCCACAAAATCCATGATGTGTACCTTTTCTGTTTACATCATAAATCATCCTACAACAGTAAGATTATTGTTCTGGTGTATGTATAAAACATCATACAGTAATACAATACATGCTTTATGAAAGCTGGAAAGAAGGAAAGAAGAGAGAACGTCTCTTAATGCTTCCCTTATAACTTTGACTCAAATTTAAGCAACAGATATTTACCCTCCCATTTGCAGTCATTTAACATAGGCCGTTCCAAGTATACATACAAATACACATATATTAAGAGGATTTATTATAAATAGCTATTGCTTTCATAGGCAGCTTCAAATATACAATCTTCTGTATGTCTTTGAAAAATTAATGTCCCAGTTTATTCTATAAAAAAATAAGAGTTCATCCACAGGTAAATATCCCTAATTAGAATGTGACTCTGTGAATGTCCCGAAGAGTTTGTCCCAGTGGGTGAAGTAAGGAGCATAGTTTGATTTGAATTTCAGATGATGGAGATCATGATGTGGGGCTCCTCCATACAAACCAAAAGGCACAAGTCGGTGAGTTGACCACGGAAGGTCGTATCCTGAATGGTCCTCCACTGACAACCAAATGTTTACAAGGAAGAAAGTCATTTCTGTCAAAGGATGGCATCCGAGGAGCACTGGGTTGATAGCAGCAAAAAATCCCAGTGAGAGCAATTCCCATACACTGGAATACTGTGTAGTAAGAGCAAACGTTGACACATGCTTGTGATGCACCTTGTGGAAGGTCTTGTAGAGCCAAGGCACCTTGTGATGAAGCAAATGCCACAGGAAGTACTCAAAATCAAACAGAAGCAGGCAAACTCCTACTTCCAGCAGGACCTCAAGCAGCTCTGGAGCGATCACTGGTAGATTCATTGGTCTCCAGTACCAGTGCAGAAAAGTCACCGGGAAGATCAAAACAACATGGTGATACACACTTTGAATAATGCAAGGCACCATCATTCCAAGAGTTGGATAGTTCTGCGGCTGGATTTTGTATTTTCTCAAGTTTGGTAGTCTAGTGCTTAAAAAGTCCAGTGCAATATACGGAAGACAGAAAGCCATGTAGGCTGTAAAAGAAAACAGCACTGGGAAAAAAGGTGACTTGATCAATGGCTCCTTTGCTGTGACAAAGTCCCACAGAGACTGAAGGCACAACCTGTCCTGCTGTCCATCCATCCAGTCGCTGAGCAGCACTCTGTCTGGCAGGCTGCAGTTCATGCTGATTGCAGTCTGAGAGGTCCGTAAATCCTGCAAGCTTTTATCTAGCCTGCTCAAGGGAAAACTCCGCCCATCAGAAATCCTCCTTACTTAGTAATACATAGCTTTAAAGAGGAAGTTCCCTTTCCTGTTATACAGAAGTGGTATAACGCATTACAACCTCAGAACAGAATTAGCTGGCCAGGGTAATCACTAGAGCTCTACCAGAGACTTGCACGATAGGAAAAATAAGCAGAAACGCAGAAGTCTAACACTGGAATTCAGAGAAAGAGGGTAGGAACACTTTCCACTCCACTTTGTGCACACATTTGAAAAACTGCTGTCTCTTACTAATTTTAAATTGTATCATCCTTTGTTATCCTTTTGCCTTTATAGGTAAGGAAATACAACCTACTATTGATTTTTTAATGTGACTGCTACCAAAGATGTACGTGTACCTAAATCCCAGGTCTGACCTGTGGATGTTTGGTGGGTAATGTGTGTGTGTAAACACACATTTTCATAATGATCCCTTGGGTATACAATAGGCTAAGTCAAAACCTTAAGGAGACCTATGCTATGCTTCCAGTCTGAATGTGGTGGCTGTGACTTATCTTCTTCATCTACTTTTGACGTCATGTTTTCCTTTATGCTCCTGTATCTACTCGACATGGCAAAATCCACCTGACTTGACAAAATGCAAAATTGAGCCAATAACTTTTGAAGAACAAAATATTCCCCATTTGCTGGGAAGAATATAAGGTAAAATCTCATTATGCTTCCAAACAGATACTTGGTGACAAGTATTATTGCATTATTACAATATTCACTCCACATCTCAACAGCTTTTTGAGTAATATGATATGGAAATCATCCTTTATCCAAGTATCAAACTAACTTAGGCAATTAAAAGATCCACTGGTTAGACCTCTATCCTTTAAAGGATCTTCCTTTGACCACAGGCAAGCACACAGCAGACAGAAGCTAGCAGGCTTGAATCCAACATTTCTAATTTGCTAAAAGTATTTTAGGGGTAAATGATGGAGGTTTTGATTTAACCACTAAGACATCACTTCTTTTGTGCTTTTAGAAAACGACAAACAAAGCTTTGAACACTTAGGGAAACAGTGCTTGCCATCAGCTTCCTATGAACTCACCTCTTTTGTAGGTACAACATTTATTCTAATATTGGAAATGAGGTCAACTTCCTGTATGACTTTATTAGCTTTTTCAGATTATTTTAGTTCTTTGCTATTCAGAAAAGAAATCTTACGGGACGAAATGGGAGACAGAATTTCCTTGCTTTTCAATAATTAAGAATGATTAATTAGCAGTAACCTTTTCTGAACTATGCATGAACTTCTCCTAATTCTTAAGTTTGCTTTCGGTCTCAATGCTTTTTTATTCAAGACATTCTGTCCTTAGGCAAGTGCAGATTTTGCTCTCTCTCTAGACTTCAGGAGTTTACTGAAACAGTAACATTATCTGTGATATCATATAGGGAATTGGAAATTCTTTGTTGGAGGTAGATATGGTACAGCCTTCAAAGACTCTACCCATTGCATATACATTTTAGAAACAGATTCAGATTCTCTGCTGTTGTGAGACTGTTCTGTTGAATTCAATTAATTCAGACTGTTGAATGTAGTGAAACTAAAACCCAGTGAGAGACACTAATCTAATGGATGAGGATCTATATGCGAGAGCTTCGTTTCAATCTTCTAATTATATTTTATTCTGACCGCCATTTCACAATAAGGACATGAAAAATGCATTTGTAACTCAATCACTGTCTGGGTCTGAAAATATCATTGTGAGAGATGCTTTCAGTTGATTTATGTAGTTAAAATCAGAAACTAAGCTTCCTGGATGGGATACGTGATTCTCTATATATTAGAATTATGCAGGGACTAAATTTATTCTGTAATGTATTCCAAATCTGCCTAAAGAGAGATTGACATAAATTGCTCAGCTGCCCTAAAGACACTCCTCCAACTGATCCCTAATAGCCATGTGAAGTCTCAAGAAGTTTTAGAACCACTGCTGCCTATAAGCTAAAATTTAAAGGATAGGCATTTTGCCTGCAGATTAGGTCACAGAAAAATATTCGTAAGTCCCTTAAGGAAAAATAACGGAATTCTGCAGTCTCATTACTAGTATATCGTGCAGCAGAAAGCCCAAGGAAGGCGCAAGGCGAGCAGAACTTACCTCGTAGCCTGGTGCAGCCCGAGCCGCGCTGCGCACCCCATCTGCCGGCGCCGCGGAGGGTGGGCGCCGCTGGCCGGGCTCACCCGGCCGGGTACCGCGTCAGGCTCAGCAAGCGAGATGCTCGGAAAAATGAATCCTCATACATCAGAGAGGGCAAATCCTTATTCTCCAGAAACTGAGTTCAAGCTGTTCGGCTTAGTTACCAAAAAACACTTATCACATATTTCCGCTCCGCTAACAGGTTTTGTTGTCGGTACAAGCTACGTGAAGAAAAGACAAAGTACACACAAATTCTTTCTGTACTTCATTCAGTAATACAATCCCAGCTTTTTTTGCTCAACTAACGATGCTGCCAAACTTTCCCATGTGTTACAAGACTCTAAATTAGTCTCTCAAAAAATCAAGACTCCTGCTACAGAGTTTAGGTTGAAGGGCACATAGTTTGGAATGAGGCCCCGCACAGGGTCTTAAATAGATTCCACATGAGCACAGGACGCAAGCACCTACCCCAGGCTCCACTGTGAAGTGCAAGCTGTAAGGTAAACAGCAAAACACTACTAAGTGGGTAGGAAAAAGGAAAAGTTAGCAGGAGGGAAAACCAGGATCAACATACTGAAACTAATGTCACAGCAGCAAAATTTTGTTCTCCCTCCTCCTTTTCTCCCCCTCTGTATGATAGGATTATTGTTGTGCCAGAGCCAAGGCAACATCCCAGTGCATGCTGAGCCTCCCACCAGAAAAAGGGAGCTGGGGAAGAGGGGTGATAACTTGCTCAGGACAGTAGCAGGGAAGCAGGATAGTAACCAAAGCAAAGGAAGGCAGAGGCAGTCCCTTCTCTCATTTTAAAAGAAATTGATACCATGCTGGAAAAATGCAATAAACCTGAGGTCCTCGCATCCTAACTCACCTTACCCCAAGAGCCTGAGTGCCCGGAGGCAGCCTGTTCAGCAGCGCTCACGCAGCCCTGCGAGGGTGCGGGTCTCGGCAAGCTCTCCGCGCTCCCCCGGTGCCGCGCTGCGGCGGCCTCTCCGCAGGCAACAGCACCCCCCAGCGGAGAAACCCACTGCCAACAGCCCCGCTCCCCGCCGCCCGGCTCCACAACCGCCTGCCCCACGCCTGGCTGTAAGAACTGCTTTCAAAGTAAATGCTTCCGTCCTGTGAACGTTACAGTTAACAGGAAATATTTCTTAGACTTTGTTGACACTTTCAGGGATAACAGCATATACAGTATTTTGTAGTAGGACAAAAAGTTGGTAGGCATTCATCTGTCACAGGCCTTATACGTGTAAC